ACTAGATGGGACTTCGTTCGAATTTGAAAAGCGGTGCCTTAGTGGGTTCGATTTCCGGATCGGGCCACAAAATACGCAATCACTTTTATTGCTAGGCTCTAGTTGAGCCACATCTATGGCTCAAAAGAAAAATTGCTCAACGACAATAGGACCATGTCTATTTATTTATTATATTCACACTAGAACTCGACATTTACTTGTTCGCACTTTCCTAGTGAAAGTGTTTACTGAATCAGAATTGGTTTGAGTGAAGGGTACTCGCATTTTTGTGGTAGATGGTACATCTATTTATAAAATACTTCGTAATCTATATGAATAAAAATAAATCGTCAACTGTATTGCTAATTTAGCTAATTTATTTTCGTGTTTTTGAAGGTTCTTAATGAGATAAAAAATTTAAAACATTGAAAAATAGTAAATACCTGGTCAAAAATTTTTGATAGAACGAAGTCTGTGGGCGTCTAGTTTTGAATAAAATTGTCATAGGGTAGCTAGTGCAGACGAAATTGTTTTTTTGTTTTTATTTACTTACTTAATACACAGGCGGACTTAATGCCCACGGCATTCTCTCCCAGTCAACCTTTGGGTGATGTAGAAATATGATTCGCTAGGCGCAAGTGCGGTATCTTTCTGGAATAATAGTTTACGCTTTTCTTTTTCCCCAAAACATTCTTTATATAGAGCCGTCGTGTCTCCTGACGTTGGCACCTTTTGTGCGCTACCAACCCCAGGATTAAAGAGGAAGGTTTGGCCTCCAGTAACCTCCCTCACTTGGTGAAAGTAACGAAAGAACTGCTGAACACCGATTTCCTGTGAGGCTCTGGTATCACTGCCACAGCCTCACAGGAAATTGATCCGAATCCTAGAAAGAGTTTATTTAGTTGGTTTATACTGGTATCCTAAAAAGTATAATAAAAATGAGTTTAATGAAATCTATCTTTTACTGAACCCCAAAAATTTCTAAATTGAAAAAAAAAAACTAAAAAAATGTTACAAAATGTTGCTCATAATTAATTCTCTTTATTAATGTTAATACCCACTTATTGAAGAAGATTAAAATATATTTGTAAGCTTTCACTTTTTGATTGTATAACTTTAGATTTTGTTACTGTTATATACAACACTTTTTTCCTGTAAATTACTATAATAAAGCTGAAACTATTTTGTTTGTTTGATAAAAAAGTAACAAAAAACTCGACTGTAGTGTATACTTAAAATTTACAAACCGGTGGTTATAATTTTCATATACTCACTACGTGTATTGTCGGATTAAAAATACGGCATGTCACCACCCCTATTCATCCCGTGGGTGTCAACTGCACTGCAAAGAGAAGGAAAACTTGGCAAAACCCCTATACCAACCCCGGTGGCCAGGATAGTAGGCCAAAATCTCCTTTCTAAGGAGAGGCCTATGTTTTTTTTATGGTATAAGGGGGCAAACGATCAGACACCTGATCACTCACCGCCCATGGACACCTGCAACTCAAAAGTCACAAGTGCGTTTCTGCCCTTGGAGTCCCTGCCGCTCTAGTCAGCGGGATTTGGGCCCCGGTAACCACACTCACTCAGTGAAAGGCAACGAAAGAATTGCTTAACACCGGTTTTCTGTGTCGGTATGTTGGTGACCGGTATGTCCAGCAGTGGACTATTAAAGGCTGTTGATGATGATGATTACAGTCAGTGTCACTCACAATTAATATGAAACTAACAACATCTCAAAAGGAAAATCTATCAAGCCGTTGAGCGTGCCAAAAAAGTATACATACAAAAATACATACATTCAAAATACACAACCTGTTTCTAGGGCAATAAAGAAAAAAGTTAATTCATGTTGTGTTCTTAACATTTTTTATAAATAATATTAAAACTCTTGTCACATATCCTAAAAACAGTCACAATTTACTTGATCATCAACGTTATTTCTTATCTGTTCACCATGTTCAGCATTTAAATTGGCTTCATCTCTCCCATATAAAGAATTATGGGTTAAAACAAATGTTTATAAGTTTTGTATACCTTTCTAAATACGCGTGGGTAAGCCCATACATCACTAGCATTAGAAAATTTTAATCAGAATGCGACCAACGTTTCGTTAGACGTGTTCTAACGTGACACGATTTTTAATAAGTTCCGGGTCGAACAGTTACACTCCATTTCTATTTCAAATATCTAATTAACATATCAGACGAGTGTTAGGTGCTAATAGGGCCAGCCTTCGAAGGTCTAATTAGAGAGAGTTGTTTGTTTGGTTGCCCTTCATTTATTCATAAATGAAATTATTTCGATTACACGTCGTAAATATTTTCTGACACGTGTCTGGTCGGCAAAAGGAAACCACATCATTTCTTTTGTTTTTTAAAGACAACTCCACTAGGAATATATCCTGTGACGCGGGGAACTTACAAACATATATTAAACGGACACAAAGAACTGAGTCAGAACAACAATTGGTGGATCACACAGTGTGGTCCCATGTGGGAATCGAACCCACAACACTAGCATAGTTTAGTTAGCTTAAACCACTACGCCATCCGTGCAATCGCACATAATGCTTTTTGTATTCTTAATATCAATATTTTTCTGAAGTTGCAGTGGAACTGCTAGGCTTTGGCACAGACAACTGCAAAAAACCGGTGGTACACAATTATTTTGTAGCTTTTCACCATGTGAGTGAGGTTATCTAAACTCAACCCCCTCTCCTGCCCCTGGGGGAGGTGATCCAAATGACGTAATGGCACTTGTGACTTGGATTTCAGGTGTCGCTTATTATCAGGTGACTCGTCATCTTGTTTGCCTCCTCCTCCATAAAAAAAATGATGAAGATCAGTAAAAAATATTCTAATTGTACAAAAATTATGTGTCTTTTCATAGTAATTTTTGTAGAGGTAATATATATATATATATAAGGTGGATAGAATATACGTCCCATGCTTTAAAATTTCAATACAATTTTGAAAAAAGAAAATTAAAGTATGAAGAGTTTATTACAATTTTTAATGATGAAGGTGCATTTTTTAAGTTAATAATGCGCAACAATATCCAGTCCTATACCTGAACAGCATTCATTTGTATCAATAACGGTAATTTTATAGAAAGCACAGTCTACAGAACAAGTGACGACTAACAACGCGTAACCAATTTACGGAAAAAAGTCCTATGACATAATATATATTAGATCTCACTATACTCGTACAATAGTACACAACCTTCTTCATAATGAGACGGCGGTATCATCGAATCGATAGTGCAGCAGCCAATTTTCCTACACTCATGGTGTACGAATATAATGCAAATATATGTTTGTATGTATGTAGATACACATACTCGTATATATGTGTAGTGTATGTATGTGTATTTATTTATATGTGTATGTATATAAAGGCGGAAGATTTATACGTTATGAAGGGAAACCAGAGTTAGAATAGAGTAGAGAATCCGTGTGGTGACGGATTAAGAATACAAATGTCACCACCCCAATTCAACCCGTGGGTGTCGTAAGAGCCGACTAAGGGAGCAAACTAAGCAGGACAACAGCACTGCAAAGAGAAGGAAAACTTGAAACAAACCCTATACCAACCCGTCTGGCCAGCGTGGCATAGTAGGCCAAAACCTCCTTTCTAAGGAGAGGCCTATGTCCAGCAGTGGACTAGTATAGGTTGTTGATGATGATGATGATGATGATGTATATATATATATATATATTGGTACGAGTATAGTGTGTATCTGCTTGTGTATAAAATTACGTGTGTTGTGTTCTGTAGTGTATATCTTAGTGATTAGTGTTATAACCTATATGCGTCTACTACTCACGATTTCTACACTACCTAAAGGTTGACTGGCAGAGAATGCCTTAGGCATTAAGTCCGCCGATGTACAAAAGTGCATAAAGTTAAAAATAAATAAATAAATAATATACTGTCATATAATATAAATGTGTAGAATTAACATACTCACTTATTGTATTTTTGCTCTCAAAGAAGAAAGAAAAAACGTTTATTTTGGCAATAACACAACACTTTAGACAGCAGGTTGAATTACCACCGATGCCAAAAACGGATCATTTGCAATAAAATTTTAAGTGATGTTTTAATCCACTTCAACGAAATAAATTAAAAAAAAAATTATAAATACTTTATGTATTATAGAACATGTTAGACCAACTGTCGTATTAATTGAGCAAAAAAGATTACTATAAAAAATGCGGACATACAAACATACAAAATGAAAAACAGACGTTTCTTTTTTGAAAGTCAATAAAAAGTATTACTACAGATGATTTTTTAAATCGAATAAGTATAAGAAATAAGATACAACATTTCGTTCTTTAATTTTGAAAGCCTTAACTTTTAAAATCATTTCTACAACCTTTATGCGTGACTTATGATTTTTGAAAAAGTAGGATATTTTAAATGATTTGTTTTGTTCAAGCCAAGTGTTCAGAATCAGTCTGCTTCAAGCTTAATTACATTCAAGAAATAACGCTTCTTTTACGTATGTACGTTATGATTGGCATCAAAATTCTAGTATTCAAAACTTGACGTGATAATAACTAAAGATTTGGGGTATTCCCATTATCATTAAACTAGAACTTATAAAAAGACTTCTTATTTTAGAGATTGTTAAGATTGTTGAACTCTGACACAGATGTTGTGTCGTTTGTTGCTGAGTCTTGTAAGCAACTCTCCTTATCCATTAAGATCAATTAGATATAAAAAAAAACCTATCTAAATTACTATATACTAAAATGTCAGTCATGCACTAGCAACTAAAGAAAATATTTTGTTCACAGATGATACTGATACTTGAAACAATACAATCAGCAAACTTGTCAACCAAAAACTAATGAAAACTTTCGACAATAATTTGCATATATGACATTACAAGAATGGATGATGGAAGAAGATGATACATCTTTAGACGTACCTGATTATAGCAAGCGATCACATGTGTAGCTCTGACAGAATACTATTTAAGATCAAGAATCTAGTTATGATATAAAAATGGCTGAGCGACTTGAAGACAGAAGTAATGAGAACAAGATGACGATAAAAAATCTAGGTGTCTATTTAGTTTTAATACTTGTCAGTGTTAACCAAATAAAGTGTAGTGACGAAAATGAAATGACAAAACGAATGAAGATCCTAGAAAGTGTTTCTGGAAGATTGTTCAGTGATGTTTATCAAAACGGTACATTCCGAACTGGTAATTTGCTGTGGGACAACATTTTAAATAAATGTACGGTATCGCCATCAGTGAGTTGTTTGCAAAAGAATGTGTATTCGTTCCTTGACGATACGTTGGGGATGAACGGTGATGTGGAAGTGGCCAGTGGTGTGTGTTTTAAGAAAAATAATGTGGATATCCACAAGTATACCAAGGAGGCTAACACGATCTACCTCACGGGAAGTACGGGAGAGGAATCAAAGGGAAGATATATCGACAAGGATCAAGAAAATGAAATCGATAATGAAGAATCAGGTGAGTTTTACAAAGTACCTTCTTAAATAATCACGCTCAATTTTTACGTTTAAAGTTATAATCAAAAATAAATATTTTTAACTCGTCACAGTCTTTAATGTAAAATATTTGATTAAATGTAATTATGTCATCAATTCATCATGAATTAATAATAAAGTGGGTTAAAATAAAATCTGTGATTTAGCAAAAGCTTTTCTAATATAAACGATATAAAACTCTGCATTTATTAAACTGATATTATTTATTAGTAGGATCTTAGATCCAAATTTAATTATAATTAAATTACCTCATGAAAACTATCAATATTTAATTACAACACTAATAATTATGTATCAATTTATGAAAAACAAACGTCATAACTACTTTGTTGATTAAATCTAACTTTGGAAGTAGCACATAAACTCGTTTCAATACTGTTTGAAAAATAAACTCGTGTCAGTGTCCACATTTTGGCTTACGAAAAAGGGCATGTCTGTTATCGCCATTCTAGGAATCAGATGGGCAACTTGGGGGTTTATTGAAAGAAAAGCTATGTCAGAAAGGAAGGCAATATTGGGATTTTGCTTATAAGGGATGTATTGGGGAATGCAACCAAAAGCTCGAGCAGGCTAATGTCATCTAAATGTAATTCCAACCACTTCGAGTTTCCGTCAACAACAGCCAAAACAGTCAGCTGGCTGGCTGCAGAAATAAGATCCCGATACTTTGCCATTTCCATACACATCAAAATGATCAGTTTCAATCGCATACGTATTCAAATTAGTTATTTTCGTTATCCAGACCAATTACTTATTCGTCTTATTACCCTTTTTTTTCCGTGCGGAAATCCCCTAGGATACCACTCGGTGGTACTCGGTGGCATGTCGGACTCGAACCGACTAAAACCGCACGCCGTCTCGGGTACTAATAGCCGGGGAACCAGGTATACCCTAGAAAGGAAGTCCCTGGTGCTCGTCTTATTACCCTCAACTATTTAAACCCGTGTCATTATTGTTTGGAAAATAGATACGTACGAGTAGTTTGCTTGAATTATAAATGTACATACTCTCATTGATAGCCTCGCTCGAGCCTAGTCTGGTTATCATAATTAAACAAATAATGTAAACCTGGGCTTCACAGACCTATTTCTGTTGCGCAAGTCATACAATATTTATTCTAAGTAATTGATCAACCAAAGTCATGTACTTATGTGTACATGTACAATCTTAAATTATTACTTAGTAGTTGCACTTAAAAAAATATTGCAGTGTTGTTTTAAAATGCTACAAGTATTTAATATTCCAATTTGATAGTTGCGTGTGGGTTTTGGCCTCCTTCCAAAAGTTAATCTGCAATACCTGACGATTGAGCAATAAAGTGTTTATCTTTTATAATAGCAGTAAGGACCATGAACTTGGCATGAATGACACGCAACCGAAACCGACAGACAGTATTATATAATTATGTTAGCCGTGGAGGTTTAATTTATGCTAACTATTCTATGTAAAATATATCTGATAAAAACATTTAAATTTTTCGTTAAAGTTACTGCAAAACGTCTAGTAAGATCCCGATTTAAAAAAAAAGATTATCGTCTGAACTTATAATTTCACTACCAGAATAAAAATTTAAAAGGCTTGTGTCCACTAAGAACATATTGCTTGTATACTGCTTGCCTTAATACTGTTTCAGTTGACACTGGACACAGATGTAAACAGTTTTGTTTCGCAGACTGTGACGTCATTCAAGACGCCATGACATTACATAAATTGTTTGGTTTTTTTAAATACAAAATACGTACTGTAAATATTGTTTTATTTTTAAAATATGGGTTTTTGGGATAAAATAGATGTTAAAGTATATAATTAACCAATTTTTCAAATTGAGTCAACTAGTCTATTATGGCAGCAAACTTTTAATTTAACATGTCAAAAGAGCTGTATTTTACTACTGCTTCAAAAAAAACTTTCTCATAGTATCCTTGATAATGAAATGACGGAAACACGTTTTTTGTTCATCATCTAATATGACCAGTCATTGAACAAACACTTTCTGTTTTCACCTCCGTCAGTGGAAGTGTCAATAACATTGCTTTAGGAATTGGATGACGTGACAAAACCGAGACTTTTTCGTTATAATTATATTTTTGGACACAATGAAAACTTTCATATTTTGTTTACTAATTAAGCAAATGCCGTAATGGTCTAAAGACCCGTAATAGCCGCGGCCAGCATATTAATAATGTTGTGACTCATGTTAAGATTACTTTTTGATCTTTTTAGTAATTCTACGTTAGAAAATCTTCTTCCAACTTCGAATAAATCTCTAACAACTGCGATTTTTAACCGACTTAAAAAAGAATGAGGTTATCAATTCGGTTTTGTATATTTTCTTTTATGAATGTTCGAGCACAACTCCGTCATATATTAATTGAAGTCGGTTCAACTTTTGTATGGAAGAGACTTCCTTAGTTTAATTTGGCGATTGGTTTTCTGTAAACTACGAGTATAAACATAGAAGACTAAATATAATAATTTTTCTAATATTTTGTCATTGAATATCTGATAATATTGGTATCTGTATGTGGATAGATTGAAAGAATCTGACCATAAAGAACCGAGACTAAGTAGAAAAGAAACACCAATTCTTACTCAGAACTCAGATTTAACTTTGTCTTAAATATATTAATGAGAATATATGTTCCTATAGAATAAACTTTGTAATTCACCTTGAAAGTATTTGTTGTAAATTTTTTCATTTGGTCAGTTAACATATGTGAGTGTAATAATCACACACACACCACATGCACAAAAATTATCAGTTTTAAAAGTTTAAAATAAAATAGGAGATTGCAAAATGATTAATTTGACATAATTAAAAATAAAAATAACAAAAAAGAACTATTGATATGTTTTTTTAATGTAACAAACGATAATTAAAAAATAACAATAAAAAAAAGTTTCAATAAAATTATTAACTTTCAAAGTTTCATTTTATATTTGAGTTATTTAAGTGAGCACCAACAATAATATGACGTATTTAAATACATATAAAATTAAAGTTATGTAACAAGTAAGTTAGGATTAAATAAAATGAATGGAAATTAAATTAATTTAACTTGAGTACAATACAAATTTGTTAATTCTGAATCAAATTGACACTACACCAAAAAAGTAATGTTATTAAATAAGATTTCTTTTATGTTTTCTACAAAAAACGCCCTGGACTTCATAAGACTCAGTAAATTTGGACAATCAATCAGGTTTCTCACGATTTTAAATAAAAATAATGATTCAAACACGTCTCTGCGCATAGATAGTGGGTGCATTCTAAAACACTGAAGTCGGTTGTTATAAGTGGTCAGTTGTTTACCTTTATTATTATAGCCCGTTTATTTTCATAATTAATAAATTACAAAACAAATACCATGAATGATGAAACATATATCATGAATTAAAAGTACATTTTAGGTGCATGCATGAATTAATAACATATTAGAATTGATATAATGAGTTGTACATTACAGTAGCATGATAATAAAATTTCATTTTGAATAATTGAATTGAATAATTCTCTAAATAAATAAATTCAAATTTTCATTTTTTTTTAAATATATTATGTAAATATTACATGACTTCAATTTTTAAATCAATTTATAAAATTCATATTAAGCCCTCAACGGGTAAGGACCTCCTCCGTTTTCCTCCTCGTCTGTCTGTCCTTTGCTTTTGTGAACCAGTTTTCACTGGCTTTTCTTACTATTTCATCAACCCATTTTTCTTTTGGTATACGTCTTTTCCTTTAGTTTGTTGATCCTTGCCAGTACCGGGTACAGTTACTCTCAGTGTCCATTTTTCCTTGTCCATACTATAATTCGCAAATTTTCATTTTAGTTTTTGAGAGTGTTTCAAAGCATCTATTATTTTTGCGGTTTATCTTATTTCTTTTCTGTGTTTTCTTGTTATTATTATTTAATAACCATGTTTGGCAGCCATACGTAAGACACGGTAGTATACATGAGTCCATAATTTTTTTCTTTAGTTTCATGGGGAGTCTCTATTTTAGGGTTTCTTTGAAGGAAAGGAAAGGAGAAGGAAAACTTGAAGCAAACCCTAAAAACCCTAAAAAATAACAATCCGTCTGGCCAGTGTGGTATAGTAGGTCAAAACACCCTTTCTAAGGAGAGGCCTATGTCCAGCTATTTAAGGCTGTTGATGAAAGTGCGTTGTCGCTCTTTGAGGTAGGTATACTCTATTTCCTTGAAAGTTTGAAGGTATGTGTAGTTACGGAAATTTTGCAGGCGAAAATTTGTGCCAAAAATTAATAATACGAGCCAAAAACCTCCATAATAACAAAGAAATAAACGATTAAACAATTGAGCATTCCCACTGCGGTTCAAAGACAATGCAAGCTTGTGCACGCTTTTAACCGTGTCATTATTTAGAACTGACGTAGTGTTATTGTAGTGTAAACTAACAATGTGAATGGTTAAGTGTGCCATATGGTTAAACCTGTTCACCGACCGCGAACTGGATGGTTAACCTTACAAATTATAATACTTAACTAGACGACGATTCGTCATTTAAATCTCAGGACGTTCGCAATTGTCATATAGTTTGTCGCAAACTGTTTGTTTTGTTAGACAGAGCGGAGAACTCGTTATAGTGACTATGAATGAGGTGATATGGAAGGAAACTGATTAATGATATCGTTAAGTTTCTTGCAATTGTAGACATTACGTTGAGACTATAAATCTGACACTATGGTTATTGAGTGAGTTAGCGTGTGACTATCTGGGGCAACGTCGTCGTCGTAGTGCAATGAACATTGCGACGTATTTTATGTATTGGGTTTAAGGAAAATAACCAAGATTCGAGAAAATTAATGCATTACTTAAGTCCAATGAGTACAATTAAATCTTTCCACCACGAGCAGACGATTGCACGCCGTGTTCGTCCGCGGCTAGGAATCAAAGTCTGCAGGTGTTTTCAGAGTTTTTATTTTTGAGGGATACCTGCGTCTCCTACAATAGACTGCTTATGACAGA